AACAAGCCATCACTCGTTTGTGGCACCACACAGCGCCTAAGGTTCCAAAAACTTGTATATTCCAGTCGTCACTGAGAGATTTATGAGTGGAGCCCACGTGGGGTCAGTAACAGTTTTGCCCATGAAAGCGTGAGGCTTTAAGAGAAGTGAGGGTCTTTCAGTGTGGGCGGTCCAAAAATCTCTGCTTTGGGCTATCCAAATCCAAAGAACGTGAGAGATTTTAGAGTGTGGACACAGGTTTTCCCAGAAAGAACCCTGCCCTGGGCTGTCCTAAGGACGTGAAAATGCCACAGACCCACTCGAACAGGGAGAACAGTCGACTGGGGCTGCCCAGTGCCAAGAGTTCCCCGGAGAGTGCTCACCTGAAGTCAATCTGGCCGATGGTGAGTGCAGGCAGCTTGGCAACAAGGAAGTCTCAGGAGAGGAAAAAGCACGGAATTAATCCAGGATGTTATCCGGTTTGTGAATCGGCTGGGGACTCAACTTGGTGTGTCCCAGGAGTCAATCGCCTGCCGATCGAGTCATGGCACCAAATGATAGGATTATTTACAAATGATGAAAAATATTTCCAAAAGATGAGAAGTATAAACAAAAAGTGGCCTTTATTCTGAGAACACGGGGAGAGATGACCAGCACCCCCCACCGCTGGAGTCCAGCGATCTCTCTGGCAGACACGTGGCGTGGGGGGTATGTAAGTAGCCTTGTTTGGGGTGGAACCTAAGGGGGCATCAGGGATGCACGAGTAGCCCATTGGTCCTAGGTTTGGCGCTATAGGCAAATTCCCAGGGGCGGGGAAGATGGCATCACAGGTAAATTCCTAGGGGCGGGGGAGATAGGGGCTTCCTGCTTCCGGTTGAGGTTTTCCTGGCTAGAGAGTCCTGTCTGGACCAAAACCCTTTCACCAACAAGCCATGGATGGGTACCAGCTGGGGCTGGGATCCCTGCATTAAATAACTGGAACTAGTGATGTGGAGTAAATCTATTTTGTCACTGTCACTTTCCTCTCCTTCCCAAATCCTTCATGAATTTCATGCTATTTGCTTGGGTCAGACCATCAAAGTTCAAGAACTGCTCAGCCTTCTTATATTTGCAGCCATAATCTTTTCAAATTTAAATGCTTTGACATTGTTTGGCATTAAATGTTAGAAATTGGCTTAAAATTGTTAGAAAACTGTAGTGCTATAAATACTGATAGTGCCATATAAACCAAAACTCATGGCAAAGATAACTAATGATATCTAGCTGCTGAGTTGTTTACATGCTGGTCATGTATTTTTAAAGCTGTTCATGCATGAGTCTGCAGGCCAGTGGAGTTTCCAACTGTGGTGGTGGCTGGGGCTTCCCCAATGTATCCAGGTGTGTTTGTGTTAATGATTTATAAATCCAAAAGAATTCTTTGCCATCTGATCCAAAACAAAGCCTTGAGGTTTATCAAAATGTTGATCAGTGGCCTGAGGACACACTGACAAGGAGCGGTAATAATTCTTCCTGGGGCTCCAAGAACAAGGCTTCTATGTAACAGCTCCTGCTGCCAATGAAAACGCCTGAAGAATGGCTGCCTTCCACAAGACACGTTAAGGTCTGCAGTTCACATTCAGACAATATGAGAACATATAAACAGCCCCCACATGCCACTTAGCAAAGGCTTAAAATAGAGATATGCCTACAAAGTGAGAAGTATACCAAGTGCCTGAGAGCTATGTGATGGGGTTAAATATGTTCCCTCATCCTGAAATGCTGGAAATTTAACCCCCAAATTCATGTTTACTGTGTCTGGAGGTGGGGACTTTAGAAGGTCATTAGTGTTAGATGAGTTCACCAGGATGAGTTCCCTACATGCTAACTAGCAGGTGTGCTGTGTCTCAGCATGCAAGGCCTTTCACCCAGCTGGAGCAGCAAGATGGTGGCTCCATGCTCTTTGAGTTTCCAGCCTCTAGACTTGTGTTAAATACATCTTTGTATTCCACTACAGTAAGAGAAAACAGACTAAGAGTATCAGCGGGTCTTCTGCAGGTTAAGAGATGCCTGAAAACAATCCCATGAAAACTTCAAAATATCATATATACATATACACATATATGTGTGTGTGTGTGTGTATATATATATATATATATATATATAAAATGCTATCAGCTCTAGATTCAATGTAGAGAGAAAATAAAAATACTTCAATACGTGGTTCTCACCCTTAAAAGTGTCTCAAACTGCAGTGAGCACGTGGATCACCTGGGGAGCTGGTTGTAATGCAATTAATTAATTTACTCATCTGGAGTGACCTCAGGGAAAATCCCTGGAGTTACCTGAGGCAATGCTATTTGTCCCCCTGGCCTATTATAGTCAGTCTTCCTTATCAAAGCATTCTGCATTTGTGAAGTCAACCAACTACGGATTGAAAGTATGTGAAAAAATAGTACTAGTACTGAGCATGTAGACTTTTTTCCTTGACATTATTCCCTAAACAGCACATTACAGTTATTTACATAGCGCTTAAAGAGATTAGAATTAATCTAGAGGTGGTTTAAAGTATAGGGATATGCATATATTGTATGCAAATATTATGCCAACTTATATAAGGAACTGGAACATGCACAGATCTTGGTATAACAGGACCAATCCATATCGATCCTGAAAGAAGAGTGCAGTGCTGATAAATGGCAGCCATACATGGGTGACTACCACAGTTTCTTACCTAGCCAGATGTTTCCTGGAAAAGGACCTGAAAGCTGGCGGGAAGAGTTGCCTCTAGGAAGTCAAAAGGCAAATTCGAGGTCACCAGAATAGCTGGCAAGGGGTAATAAAGTGTAGGACCTGTCAGTCCATGCCCGTTACCTTTCAGTGGATGCCTTTCTTTCTCAGAGTCACAGACAGGATTCATTTCCTTGAGATACTAAATCATGTACACACAATGGACCCCACACTTTGAGATTTGTTTTGGACAATTCATAAACACAATAGGTTTATGACGGTGTGTGGCAATCTGCTCAGGAGTAAAAAGCTAAGGCGAGAACCTGTGATGATATTACTGCTAACACCTTAAATAGGTTAGTGGCACAAGGAAGAAAAACAGAAGCCTGGCCTTGAGCTCATTTTACCCACGGGTGCTGTGAATCACACTGTGCTCCCACTGTAAGGCAGCTTGGGAACCTGGGCTCATGGTACCAATGAGAACTAGAAAGGTATATATTCACCAGGACTGCCTTTTCTCCCAGGGAAGCTTACCAGCAGAATTTCAGAATAAAAGGACTAGTAAGCATGGAAATGACTGAATAATGGCCAACTTGGAATAGGATTTCGGATCTTGAAAGCAAGGCTGTCTTCCCAGCATCCATGAGGATACTTTCTTTCCTTCCCTTTACCATGCATATGTGTATGTGTATGTGTGTGTATTGGGGGGTTGAATCCAGGGCTTCATACATTCTAAGCAAGTGCCTTACCACTGACCCATACCCTAACCCTTAAGATATTTTTCTTAACAGCAATTTATATTTCATTTCTGGGGTTTAAGGGATGTAAGACAAAGTATCTCATACATAAAATGCTTAATACCAGAAGTGTTTCCGATTTCAGAGTTTTTCAGATATTGAAGTACTTGCACTGACTTTACTAATCCAAAAATCAAAAATTTGAAACTTTCTGAGTGTACAAAAGGTTTTGAACCTTTGAGGATTCTAGATGCTCCACCTATCCTATTCATTGTTTGTAACATATAACTGCCCAAAGTAAACTAACATTTAGGATTATTCTTTGCAAATTCTAAAGCAAATTTAGAATGCTGTGGTTCTTACTTCAAATTGCAGTACCCTTAAGCACATTTATTTCTGTGCTACAGGCCTTTAGATGACAGCCTACTTTTCAAAAAACAGCCTATGAATTCTGTAAAGAATAGAGAAGAGATGCCTGTTGGTTCTTAATTCATGATTTCCACTTAAATTTTGAACATTTGGTATAATTTTCAATGGCAGAAAATCAGGGACAAGTCTAAAACTAGCTTTCTTATTTTAAAGAAGACACTTTTACACCATTTGATTTTTTGTGTGGCAAGTTAATAAATGACAGCTCATTTCAACTGGCTTTACAAGTTGAATAACTCTTATGTTAAGAGTCTCTGTTTCTCAAATGATTATTCACTTACTATGTTCCAGCTTCAAAAGAAAATTATGCATTGTATTTTGTGTTGAGGTCAAGTCAGTAGGGTGGATTTTTTTTTTTTTTTTTTTTGCAGTGAGAAATGATTGTAAGCATTGTGGGAGTCGGTACATGTAATTCCTTCTACTTCCTGTCTCTTTTCCTGCCTCCCCTCTCTGTCTTGGTAGAAAGGTCAGTTCTTACCCTTTTTTCTCACCTCCCCATTATCGGGTCCTGATTTAGATCCCCGATCTCCCAAATGAGTGTATGGCAGAGGTTAAATAAAAAGAGACAAACTGTGTGATTTTTTTAGGGCTTCAGGAGGGTCAAAAGCCTTTAATTAAGCTTGCAACTCTGAGGGCTAGGACAAAAACTTCTCTGGACCGCCCACGTTATGTATGAAGTCCAACAACAAGGGGCAGGGAAACTGAGGAAAGCACAGGCAATGAGCAGGACCTTGGGAGTCACTTCAAGGATGTCTCCAAGTAATGAATCAAGTCAATTCAGCAGCACTGTCTTATCATGAAGACATGGTAGGAGTAATGAGACTGTAGGAGTAATTTCTGCAGCTGCAGTCTCTACCTTGTTAATTGGGGTCGGAGCCAGAGGGTCCGCAGCTGTGGCCTTATCTTGCCCTTTGAGGTATCTCTGGCCTCACAGGCCATTACAGGCCTCAGCCAGGACCAGTGATTCAAAGAGGTTCACTTACTATGAATCCACTCCTGTCACCAGGCAAGGGGCCTAGGCCTAGGACAGACTCACAGATAAACATAGAAAGCCAATTAGTACAATTTAAATCCTGCTGAGAGCTGCTGAGTAGTGGTCCCCAACACCCCATGCATAGGTAATTCCAAAAGGAAAGCAAACTGAGCCAATTAGGAATTAAGCAGTCACATTTTAATCAATAAATATAAACATCTGTTAACCAATTATTAGGAAGGGAAAACACAGTAACATATAAAGAATTCAAAAGGTATTACCATCTTGGATACAAAGTGCCCTAAATCTTAGATATAAACTTCCTCACAAAATTAGAGGTAACAAAAAAATTTATTCAGAGTAATATTTGGAATAATTTGAAAACTTCTAAGTATATTTTAAAGCCATAACAGATTATTTGGCACATAAAGTAGACACAGATCTTTCTGCAAATAGGTAGACTATCTGACAGTTTAAGGAATAGACAACTGAATGGATGAACTGAAGAGTGAGGAATATGTTCACATTATGGGCCAGGCTTATCCACTCCTTGCTTTTCTGTGGCCTCACCATCCCTTGCTCTGCTCTGTATCACAGGAAACCACATTTCCCAGGGTCTGGACCTGCTAGCCTCCAGGCAAGGCTGGAATGGTCAGATGCTGGTGGAAGACATAAGGACAGGAGATGCAAAGCCAGGGTGTTTCTCAGCATCTGACTCAGCTCTGGCATTGTCACTGGCTCAGTAGTGGCTTTGCCTTAACCACGGGCTCCATTTTCCACTGTGCCTCAGTGGTCCCGGCTCCCAGCAGGGAGTACCCCATCATCCCAGGTCCAGGCTCAGGCAGCCACACCTCTTCCTATTGTCCTCACAGTGCCAGCTGAGGTAATGGCCTTCTGAAGTTTGGCTTCACTTTTTAAAATCTTATATTAACTCAATTTCCTATATTAAGTTCCCTCTATAGGATCCCCTAGGATAACTTCTGGTTTTTGGACTGGATCCTCACTGGTACATATTAGAGTCATTAGATTTCTTCTTCTCTCTTATCTGGGAATGCTTGCCTAAAAGTCTGCCCTAACTGATGAAAAAAAAAAAAAAAAATCACTCAAACCCCACAATGCCCACTTTCTGCAATACAGGACAATGACTGTCTCATCAGCCATTTATTGTCAAAAACTGAGATTTGTTCTGCTAAGTGCAAATAGGACCCTCTTTCACAATGTCACCACTAATTACAGTCGATACTGCCAAGAATTGTCTCCGGAGGTCATTTCCGTTGTATGAATTAAGGTGCAGTTAACAAAATGAAAAAAATACGAACAAAAACTAACGTTAAGAGGAAATTACAAAGTCACCAAATGAATAACATGGTAAAAAGGCTCTGAAAAGTTCAGAGATCATAAGCACCAGAAAGTTTCTTCCCTGTTGAATCAATAAATTTTCCTGAAATTAAAAGCTTATAACATTTCTGAGTATTGCAAGAGCATCAAAATAATGATAATGATATTAATAATAAAACAATAACAACCTGACTCATCAAGTGGTCCCTAGCTTCTCAGCTAGGAGGAACAGTTACTTGCGGAAGTGGAGCTCTTTGGTGAGCATGGACACCACACATGGGATCTGTTTCTTCTCATTCAAACGGGGATCATCTGACTGGGACTCGAAGTGTCTGGCCACCCTGTAGTTTACCCGTGTAAGGATCTGCATGATCTCCAGGTCTTTGCCATGTTCCTCCAGGATGGAGCAGAGAGCCTGCACAAACCAGGAACCTCTTCCCGGGTTCCTCCAAGAGTAATAGCCTTGGACGGGAAAGAAATGAGAAGACCTGATGAGCTAACTCTGGTAGCTGCTCTCCACACCAGTGAGATGAACTCTCAAGCATCTAGGGCTTCCATACCCACTTTTCAGAAATGATTTCCCTCTACTCTGCATAGAAGTCACTAATGAGAATTGTTCTGATGTGCTGATGGCAAACATCTCAGATGAGAAGAACTTCATTAAGATGCTCAGAAATGCTTTGGACACTTCAGCACGGGAACCCAGGAACACTCAATATCACTCAGGGCCAGGGCTGGTGGATGCTCTCCCCAGCGCTAGAGAACTCTCCGGTATCTGCTTTGATGCAGTCGCCTCTGTGGTATCTAGGAGATACCTAAAAGGCAGTAAGATAAATCTACACATGGGGATTTCCACAGGAAAGGTGAGAACCACTCCACAACTCTCCAACTTCTCAGCACTCTTTTGGATTGAGTGCTACTTTCTAACTCAAGCCTGGACAAGAGTTTGTAAAGGACCTCAGATAAATCAAGGATTTGTTCTTGCTGTTGGGAGCTAAAGAGAGCTGGATCCTGCTGAAGAAATATAGAGGCAAGAAGTTCTGAATAACTGAGGGGGTGAGGAAGGACGGCCTGCTGCCTGGGAAGGCTGGCCGTGTCGGGGCAAGAGTCATGCCTCTTGTGGGCCACATATGGTTTACGGCAGGGAAAGCTAGCTCCTGGGTTATCCTGCATTTTGGCCAAAAGGTCTCTTTGAAGGGGCAAGAAAAGCCCAGCAGAAACAGGATGCTCATGGCTCTGGGGAACTGGAAGGGATTGAGGTGCACTTAGAATCCCTTCCTGTAGCACACAGTACTAGCCAACTACCTGCATGAGGCCTCGAGCTCGATGCTATAACAGTACTGAGAATGCATCCATCTTTAGAGGGGTCAATTACACTATCTCATTCAATGTAGTCACTTAGTGGGCTCTGCCCATTCTCCTAAAGGTGCTCCAAGGTAACCATTCAAAAGAGCAAATGTCATCCTATAACTCTCTGACCAGAAACAGTTTCTTTACATTTCTTCATCAGGGTGAAGCTCAGGCCACTTAACAGCACACAGGGACCACAGTATGGTCCTTTGTATGCCTGTTAAGTGTGACCTTTGGCATGCCCTATCACATGCTGTGATATGGACAGAACTGTGCCCCATCCTGAAATTCACATGTTGAAGTCCCAGCACCCTATGCGACTGTCTGGAGATAGGATCTTTATGGAGGTAATTTAAGGTTAAATAAGTTACAAGGGTGGGGCCCTGATCCAACAAGATTAGTGTCCTTATAAGAGATACCAGAAAGGTCAATGATACCTGTGTTTGCTTGCCTTTCTCTGCCCTTTCTCTCCCTATATAGCAAGGTGGCTGGTTACAAACCAAGAATAGAGTCCTCACCAGAAACCAAACCAGTCGGTACCTGATCCTGGGCTTCCCAGCTGCCAAAACTACCAGACAGAAATGTCTGCTGGTAAAATCACTCTGTGGTATTTTGTTGTATCAGCTGGAGCACCGACAGATAATAGCCTACAATTCAGCCCTGAGTTTTACCAAATACATTGGGCTACTAGAGCCAGCACTGCCTGTCAAGCCATTGTTTTCTTGCCCCCATGGTTGAATTTTCATGACTCTCGGGCAGGAGCTCCTTTTTAGGAAAATCTTTCTCATCTGCCTCCTTAGAAGAGTTTCCTTTCCTCTGTGAGTTCCTCCAGACCTTCCTCAGAGCATCTGTAACTCCACCATATGCTGGTTAATACTGACACCCTCCACCCACCCACCCTTTACACTGCCTGCTTCCCAAGATCAGGATGACATCAAATTATTTTCTCTCATATAATCCTTAAAACTTGTGAAGTGACTGTCTTCACAAAACCCCATAGGTAGATCCTACCAGAACTGGTTTTTCCAAACACACTGACCTATTTACTGTAACCAATACTATCATAGGAAGCAACTGACAAAACTGCTATTACAGCTAGGACAATTCTAACTTAGTGAGGGCTGTACCCAAATCAAAGGAAGAACTTTCACTGAACAGACTCAAGGTGAGGATGGTGCTTGGTGAATAATGAGCAGACATGTTCATCCTGGAAATTCCTGGCATTGGTGTAAAGGCAGCAGCGTAAAGGATCCTAGTGTGAGCCATAGCTCAGAGTGTGGGCCTGGAATCTCTGTCTGATTGGGCACATCACTCAAGCCTTTTTATTTCATTTGTAAAACCAGGAAAGCGCTAACCCTTTTCCTAACTACCTACATTTTTATGGCGAGGCTGATATAAGGGAAAAGACACAAAACACACTCTTAAATTATAAAGTACTAGAGAAATGTTTTCTCTTATAATTATTATTAATGTAACAGCAATAACAAATGAGAGAATTTTGCTTTTCTGAATAGAAAAGTGAATACGTCCCTATGGAAGGCAGAGTAATCATCCCTAAAATGCCCTATCCTAAACCTGTTACCATGTTACTTTATTGGACAGGACTCAGCAGATGTGATTAAGGTTAGAGAACTGGGCTGGGGGAAGATCCTGTTGGCTCCATTGGAATCATAGGAGACCAGCCCCAGCAGGGGCCAGAAAGACAGAAATGTGAGGACAGAGGAAACGTCAGAGGCATGTGAAGTGGCTGGCTTTAAATGGAGGCAAGGGCAGCCAGCCAAGGAATACAGGAGGTTCTAACATGCTAGAATTAAAATGAAGAAATGAATTATCCCCCAAAACCTAAAGAAAAAAGGATAGCCCTGTCAATTCACTTTGGTATTCTGACTTTCAGACTGCAAAATAATGCATTCGCAGCCTAGGTTGGATGTCCTTTATCTAAAATGCTTGGGAGCAGATGTGCTTCAGGTTTCAGAGTTTTTAGATTCTAGAATACGTGCATGGATTTTATAGGCTGAATAACCTTAATAAGAAAATGCCAAACTAGAAATGCTCCAAAATGCAAACTTTTGTGTGTGATGCTGACACTCAATTTTGAATTTTTTTTTTTTTTTGTCTTTTTGCTTTTTATTGGTATCGGGGATCGAACTCACGACTGCCTGCTTGCAAGGCAGGTGTTTATGTCGCTGAGCTAAATCCCCAGCCCCTCAATTTTGAATTTTAACACTCAGTTTTGAATTTTAAATCATATCAGATTGTAAACACTCAAGTTGTAATTAATTACAGGAAAACAGGACAAACCCCAAGCCTGCAGCTGACTGGTGAGACAGACTGGCAAGGTCAGCAGACAATGCACTGGGTACCTGGAACCGTGGAATAGGCGAAGAGAAAGTCAGCTTCAACTGGGACCTTATAGCGGGGATTAGCATCGGTGTCATTGATGGGCCCCGAATCAGCCTGGATGCCGTCATCAAGCTCCGTCCCTCGGCAAGCCTAAACATCAAAGCAGAGATCACTCCTTGGAGTTAGGAACAGAAACCCTGTTCTCTGCTATGTTGCAGTGGCACAGGACAGGCATGGCACATGCCAGGAACTCAGACACTGGTGAATGGTGAGTTCAGTCACTTTTCAAGGCAATAGTGCCAAAGCACTGCACTGGGTGGGATCCACTGTAAATACATGTATCAGCCATTCACAGACAGAAAAACCAAATCCAAATCTGCATATCGCAATAGCAAGACAATATAGATTTGTAAGGATAATGCCACCCCAGTCACTCTGGTTTTTCCCATTTCCAACTATACTGGCTCTGTAAAGCAATTACCTGAATGAAGAAGAGTTTGGGTTTCTCTAAAAGGGTTTTGCATCGATCTCCCCTAAAATGGATGGTCAAGTCCTTTATTGGTGTTACACCGTCTTTCCCGTAAATACAATTTTCTTCTCCGTGGCTTAACAAGATGCAAGCGAAGCACGCTGAATTGGTATGGTCCTCCTCGGAAGCTGCAGGCAAGCAATGTAAACACTGGAACATTAAAACTTAGGACCTTAGAGGTGCAGACATGGTCCTCTGTAAGCAGCGCACGTGACTGTGAGAGAGGGACCAGAGAGGGCTGGAGGAGGAGCAGGGATCAGGCTTCTCTGGAAGACTGGGCTTTATCGTAAATCTCCTTTGAAGAGGACAAGGACCAGTGAAGGCAAGATAGAAGAGAATTCTGAAATTCTTGCTTGGTCTGAAACCAAGACGAGGTAGTCTCATGAGAAGTGCCCCAGTGCCCAGGTGTTCCAGCAGCTGCAGGAAGGCAGTATACTGGGGAGCAGGAGGGCAGGGCCCTGCTGTTTCTTAGTCTGTGACACTGGACATGGTATCTGGCCATCCTGGGTCTTGGTTTCCTTCCCTGCAGAGTGGAGGTGCCAGTACCCACTGAATGAGTTAATATCTGTAAATTGGGCCACATGTTAAGCCTCATGCAAGCATTTCTAAAGAAAATAATATATTCTGTCAAGTAATTAAGCCAGTCACAGAAGGACTTGTACTATACACCTCTTCTTTGGTGAGTAATTTACAGCAGGAAAGAATGGTGGTTGCCAGCAGCAAAGAGGAAATAGGGGAGTCCATGCTTTAACAGGAATGATGGAAGATGCAGGGAACTTGGGAGGTAGGTGGTGGTGAAGTTTGTGTAACAATGGAAAGTCACTTACTCAAAAAGAATTGAAGTGGTAACTTCTATTTTGTGCTTAGTTTATCACAATAAAAAATTTTTTAAAAACAAAGATGCTAGACTGGCTGTCAGTTCTGGACACTGCAAGAGTAACTAGACTTCACTGCTTTGTGGCTTACCTCCAACTCATCTAAGGGTCTAACTAACAGCTAGTTCACTATTTATCTAACAAACACAGCCAACTAATTATCTAGTTCACTATTTAGCTGACAAACACAGTCTTTTTCTCTGTGAAGAATGATGGAGGAAGAGGAAGACTTAGAATTTCTTGGGCACCTACTATTTGTTGATACCCAGGTTCTTTGTGCAAATTATTTTCTTTAATCCCAAGAAGAGCTCCACAAAAGAGGGCTCAATTTTTACTTCATGATAAAATGTGGAATTTCAGAGTGGTGTCATAAGCCTGCCCAGAGGTGGCACAACCTGCTGGGGCCAGGCTGCGAAGTGCGGGGCACTGCCTCACCCCGGCTCAACACTCGAGGCAGCAGGCACAGCCTCTCCCACAGTAATCATGCTGCACAGTGATTCCTGTATTAGTTCCGATCACAGAGGGACACAGCCACGGCGATGACAGTTGGAATTTCTCAGCTTATTGCAAGATCAGATGAATTAGGATAGAGTAGGAAAACGAAGAGTTTTGTCCTCAGTGGAACCTGTTACAACACAGACTCAAGTGAATTAACCACTTTTCTCTTTTGATAGGATAAAAATTAAAAGTTCTCTAATGGTGACCTGATCTTGGGTGGAATAATTCACCTTCAAGACCACAAAAATGATAGCTGGCCCAAGTCCAGAGGTAAGGCTCAAACACTTCTCAAAAGCACGCTCACAAGTCTTTTATTTCCTCTTCCCTCCAATCCCAAGAGCTGGGATCATCATCCATGTTTCAGGAAAGCAAAGAAATCAGGAGGATAGGGCCACTCTTCCTGAGTCACCCAGCTGCGGGTCCGGGGCAGACCCACAACCTGAACGCCTCATTTCTAGTCTGTTCTACTGCATGACCTGCTAGCATACAGAAGTTCAGCTTATTTCAAGTTTGAGAAAACTGCGAAAAGATGCCTAGCTAAGAAAATAAGACAGAAATTAAGATGAGCAACTACGCAAAGCAACAGCAAACTATCTGCTGCCTAGAGATCCCTGTCTAATGAACTTCTAGGACTTCACTTTCAAACGCTGCCCTAAGTGCCAGCGCACCACAGGAGACAGCTGTCAGATGGTATACAGACATGAATTAGTCCTGGAGCTGGGAAACCAGAGCTTGGGTTTTGGTGCGGCTCCCAACTGGCTCGTCAGTACGCCTCACATCCTCACTGAAGCTCCCTTCCTTCCTTATAAAATGGACATGATAATAAAGAGTATCAGCCAGGGTTGCAGGGTTTGTGTTAAGGGTGTAATGAAATAAAATCATGGGTGTGCCAAACAGAAAATAAGGCAGGTCCCAAGAATACGGTGTAGGCTTTATTCTTCTCTGCTGCCACCAGGAAAACTTTACACTTAAAATTTTATTCTGGGCAGGAGGATATAGATTCATGACTTCCCTGGGAACCAGCCTTTTGGAACTGAGATCATTCTGAATATACAGAACCTATTTCTCTTGTAGGAATTCAAGCAGAGACATCAATGTCTTGGGAAAGAGACCTCTGTCTCCCAGAACAGGTACAGAGTGGCCAGGGGAAAAAAGCATCCCATGTGAAAGTCTCTCTGTCTTGCAAAGCATTCTTCAGCAACCCCTGAGGAACAGAGTAAGTCCTCACCTTGTTTGAGCAGATCCTGCATCTTGGCACAAGTGCAATCATTATAAACAACCACATCGAAGCCTAGGTTCCGGAAGCACCTGAAAAGAGCGTCAGCATCTCTGTCGGTTCCATTTCGGACGCCCATGCCTGCAGGAATCAAGCAAGGGATCCAGGCATCAGCAACACATCTACAGGTTATCATTGGGTTAGCTGCTGAATGCAGCCAGTGCCAGCTCCAGCACGAATGCTCTGAGTATACAGACCACCTCCAAGGTCTCAAAGGAGCAAAGAAATGAAAAGGAAACTCAAGATAAGAGGACTCAGCCCACCCACAAAAGGTGAACTTCTACTAGTAACCCCCAGGCCCAATCGAAGCCAAACAGAGCTCCTTGGCCCAAGTCCCTGAAAGCTAATATGCACAATGGATCCTCAGACTGAGTGGTTTTTCTGAGCCCCTTTCCCCTGGACGTAGGAATACCACCTTCGGGGGATTATGTGCCACAGAAGGTGGGCACAGCACTTCTCCAGTGAGTGTCTGATACAAATCAGAGCACACAGAACAGCGCAGGAGGGTAACTCAGGCCCACACCACCTACCTGTCACTGGCTCGAAGTTCTTATTGTTTATTATGATGCACTTGCCGACCTTCTCGAAATTCATGTTATACTTATAGGTAGGCACCTCGTTCTCCGTGCCGCCGGCTGAGCGGATAGAGTCATTCTTTTTCTTCCTGGGAAAATGCACAGCCAGTTAGGGGTCAGTGTGACAGGAGGGGCCTTGCACCCAGGCAGGTCATTGGGTGAAGGTCTGGGCTGGAGAGATGCTCTGTTTAACCAAACAGAAGAATTCCCTGGTACCTTTTGTTAGCTGTCAGAGAAACGCAAACTGAAATTGCAATACAATAACAGACAACAACACGTGCTGGAATGGCTACAGTGCCAAAGAAACTGAGATCTCAGCATCTGAACGCTCACGTATTCCTGGGGGGACCTGCTTTGTACATCCCTGGGGAAAATGGCAGAGTACGTGAAAACCAAGCTTCTGCACACCGCGTGACAGAATCACTGCCCTGAGTGATGCAGACAGATTCTGCAGAAAGCAGAGCCACCCTTGTCCGTGCCACTGTTGATATGAATCAACAGCCCTCAAAAGGAAATCATCCATATGGCGAAACTGCTGAATATTCAAGTAATAACGAGAATAAACCTGCCATGGCAGCAGGCAGTAGCATAAAGGAATCTCACAAATACTCCGCAGTGAAGCAGCCATACACAAAAGGACGCACAGAAGTTAGCAAACACCTCCTGCTAGCCTCTCTGGGACAGGTTTGCCACATGGGAGGACAGGGACTAGAGCGGCATAAGAACGCTCTGGTCGGCGTGGCTCCTGTTTTGTTTCTTGGTGTGGGTGCTGGTTACCATGTGTAAGAATTCACACTGTTTGTACACTTTTCTAAGTGGATGTTCTAATTTAATAACATTTTTATTAACAGAGAAAAAAGGAACAGAGATTTTAAACAGAAAGCAGGTCTCTTATAATCTCCCATCAACTAGGGATGGGAGTTTATCAAAAGCCTGGCGGTCAGGGCTTGTGGTGGGAGTGCCAGCCCCCACGGGAGGCCTGTTTTGAATCCAATGTCCACTGACAGCAGAAGCAGCCTTGCGGTTTCCACACTGATGTGAACTCCAGGAGGGAAGAGATTTTTATCTGTTCTAAAACCACTGAATCCTCAATACACAGAACAATGCCTGGCACATAAGGCACTCAGTAGATATCTGTTATAGGAATGAATGAACCAGTTGAATCTCATCTCTGCACTGTACAGATACGGAAGCCGAGGCGCACAGAGATGGGGGTATCCAGGCCACCCAGTTAGTGACGGGCAGGGCGGCCCTCAGATCAGCACAGTGGAGCTGGGAATGCGGTGCCCTGGAGTCCGGTACAGTGATTACCTACTGCCAGCCTCAGCTCATACCTGAAGGTGGAAAGAGGCAAAGTGAAAGTGAAAACTCAGTGTCTACCACCAGCCAGGCCGTGGACATTGCCCACTTTTATGTGCCATTTCTGAGAATCTCTGAAGGCACACGGCTGCTCCCTCACCCTACTTCAGTCCAGGTTATAGATCAGCTCTGTATAACTAAACTTCCGGGCCCTTCTTGCTATTTTTCTTCCAAGATGTGGTGAATTTATACCACCCTCCTTTTATAAGCTAACATTTCTTCCACACTTACATTTAATCTGTAAAAGAGAACTACACTGAATGTGTTCTCCAGCCTTCCTTTTTTTTTTTGGAACTCACGACCTTGCACCAGGCAGGTGCTTATGCCACTGAGCTAAATCCCCAGCTCCTCTCCTGCCTTCCTGAGGCGCCTCTCTGCTTTGACGTTCGGTTTTCAGGGTGATGTGCTTGGCTCCACACTAACCCCAGGCAGACAGCACCCAGGAGTGACGGACCTGGGTTAGCAGAGCTTTGTCCACTGCCTGTGTGATGGGCCAGTGAGTTGCCACCCTATGCAGGGTGCTTCCTGTACTGAAAAACACGGCCAGTAGCATGCAGTAGGCATAGCCTTCTGCGACTGTCAGAAAGTTAGACAAGGGGTGCAGTGACAGCACCCCTCTCAGTAGGGGACTCCTCTCCATGCTCTCTGGAGTTACCAGTGCTACCACAGTGAGTTTCAGTTTTGTTCGAGGACAAGCCACATAGGTGGGAACAGGATTTATTTCCACATTGCCAACCTGTGGATGACCCTAGAGGTGTTCACTGCCCAAGTTAAATCTGTGTGCCTGGCCTCTCGTGGACACACACAATCTCTGGTCTTGCGACAGATGCACTGAGGTACACAGGAGGTGTAATGCCCATTTTACAGGTAGTAATGAAAGCAGCAAACGTCTGCCAGTGCCTACCACGGGCTGTGGGCTTGCTAACACTCTCAGGGGCACGTTCTCACTGAATTCCAACAGCAACTTGAAGAGGGAGGTGGATGTCATCATAACCCCTTTTAAGGCTGAGCCACAGAGAGGCTTGCAGCGGTTAAGTGGCTATGAGAGAAGCCAGCACAGCAGGTCCAAATCCAGGAGACAGGACCTCAAGAAACCCTCCTCTTAGTCACTGGGCACTGGTGTCCTTCAGATGGAAACAGCAGGTGACAGACTCCTAGGTGAAAAGCCAACTGCGGCAGCCACCTGCCTCCTGAGTCCACTGGTGGTCTGAGCACCAGGACCAGCAGAGCAGGGGAAGTCTATTTAGCCATCTGTCTTGGGGATGAACCAGGATGTGCCACCTCCCAGGCTCGGCCAGCAGCTGGCTTAGGAAAAGCCTGCTCCACCTCCCAGAGCTTCAATTTCTCACTGATAAAGCCAGGTCTAGTGATCACTGTTAGGATCAATGGGACAGGCGAGTGAAAGCAAAGCTCAGAATAAACACAGCACACATATGTACCGGTTCCTTACCAGTACCTGCCCCCTACGTAGAACCACTGCCTGTCCCGAGAGCAATGCCACCCTGTGCAGATAAGAAAGCCAAGTTCAGAGCTGGGATGTGATGCCTGGTGACGCAGCTTCCCAGGGCATGCTTTCTCTACTATGATGTTTATCCTTTGAACAAACACCATCTTTGATATTAAAATTCAGGAGAGGACTTAACTTGTCTTCTGGGTCATGGAACATAAAGGGTCATCTGTGACCATTCTTCAACAAGGACCCTTGATCCCGTTAAGCCCTCAACAAGGACCCTTGACCCCATTAAGCCTTCAACAAGGACCCTTGACCCTGGTAAGCCTTCAGGATGGGCTTCATCCAGCATACTCTACAACCTTTCAGAAAATACCAAGTGAGTTAACAGAAAAGAAAACTGAATAGGTAGAGTTCTTAATACAGCAACTGTATTTGGGAGCAAGATTCCTGGGTCTTATAGCTACCTAGGCCATCAAATATCCTAAGAGTGGAAGCATGCCTGGCAGGCTGAAGGGTGCATTTTATGCACTACAGTTTTCGAAGAGATAAAATTCTGCGTCTGTATTCTGAAATGAGAACCCCTAGGACAAGGGCCAAGTAATATACAAGGTGTGGGTTTCTAAAGCCGCCAGGAGCTCATTTTCAGTGATGAGCAAAACAAAACCAGCAAGCATATTTTATAAGAAAAATGGGCTTGGGGCCAGGGATTTAGCTCAGCAACATAAGCACCTGCCTGGCGAGTGCAAGGTCATGAGTTCAATCCCCGGTACCACCAAAAAAAAAAAAAAAAAAAAAGAAAGAAAAGAAAAGAAAAAAGGGCTTGGATATAAGTTATATGAAAATTAACAAGAACTTTGCCTCTATCGGAATAGAATTTGAAAAACTGATTTTTAATTAAAATTATCTTGATTCAAAAAACGGAACACAACTGAGAAGTAAATATATATACACTTTAAAGAAAACACTGCGCATGGTGATAAAACTACCTTAAAACTGACTGTGAAGTATAATTCTTATCTTTGATAAGTATCTCAAAAGGTAGTAAAGACAATCTCCCTTTCCCAACTGGCTCCTAAATTGTACTCTTATTTTTCAAATGATTTTAATATCTGCTTCTTTTTACTGCATTTGAGTTAGTCAATATTAATGTTCCCTTCTAACTCAAAGAACTTTTTATTAAACCCACATTTTCCCAGACCACAAATAAGTGTTACAGAGCGATTATCAATCCAATCCCACTGAATTTATCTCCTTCTTACGTGGTGATCAGCTTAAGAGCATGTGACTGAAGAGACAAGTCAAAGGAGAAAATGACAGTCAGTCAAAACAGTATCAAGAAAAAATAGCCAGAAAAATTAAGAGGGAGAAAAATAAAATTCCACTACACAGAGACATATTCTGCAAGAACGAATCTAAGGTTATTCGACTGCCTAATGGTTCTGAAGTTTTGGGGCACCTTCTCTGTCCTTGAGGTCATCTCTCTTTTACCCGCATTCTCCCACGGAGACCAGTATGTGCCATATTGGTAGAAAATGACTGCCCTTGCCCCATGGCCATCTCTGACTGGCTAGGCTGAGGCTTCTTCCAATCAGCTTTCTTTCTTGGGAATTCAACTGGAACTGAGGAAAGGGTCAGCCTCTCTGTGGCTACAATGAGAACTGATGGTGGCCATGTGTCAACAGGAACCAGGGATGTAGGTTGACAAACAGCTGGTAGAACCAAGCCAAAGATCGATCAGTATGGGTTTAGGGGTGGAGAGCAGACAATGTTTGAGTTCCAGATTCCTTGTGGTCTAAGTGTTTTTTAAAAAACAAAACAAAACAAAACAACATTCATCAGAGTCTAGTGCACAGCTCAGAGGTACACTCCTAGCATACCTGAGGCCGTGTCTAATCTCCAGCACCAAAAATCAAATTAAAACAAAACAAAACAGCACCAGGGATGTCGCTCAACTGCACAGCACCTGCCTGGCAAGTGCAAGGCCCCAAGTTTGATTCTAGATACAAAAACAAACAAAACAACAACAAAGCAAATCTAAAACAAACAAAATAACCTAAACCAGATTCCAGCAAGCTATTTAAAACTCCATTCCAGGATTCCCCAAAGTCCTGCAAAACCCTCTGGCCTCTGCTCCTGTTCCTGGTACAGGTCCCCTACACAGGTTCAGACTCACATGACTGCTGGTGGAGGCTCATGGGGTACGAGGGGACCCAGGAAAGACTGACGGGCTCTGCCTTCTGCCCTAGTCTGTGTGTGCATGCAGCAATCCTAGTTCATACTACCTCCTGGCCTGACATTTGTCATCTCTTAACTGGCCTCCAGTTTTATTCTTGCCCGTTTCTTTTCTTTTGTACAAGGAATTGAACTCAGAACCCTGTGCTTGCCAGGCAGGTGCTGTGCCCCTGAGCTATATCCTTGGCCCCTTATAGTCATTTCTTAAAAATGAGCTTCCAAATACATTTCAAACCAAGACATCCAATCATGTTAGTTCCCTGCTCGCAGCTATCCAGAGGATTCCTCCTGTCAATAAGGAGTTCCAGAATCCCTGCCACAGCCCACAGGGTCTACAGAAATGACTGTGCCTTATCTCTTCCCACTTTTCTCTCCCTGACTCCCCACCCCCCAAAACTGTAAACTTGTCCAGTTTGTTTCTGCTGTGGGACCTTTGCACTTGCTCCTCTCTGGGTTCCTCAGGGCTCCAAAAATCACACCTCTCCTTCCTTCATCTCGCTCAGATCCTAACTCACCCTGCCCACACTCTCACACCTATCACTGCATCCTGTCCCTGCATTAATGTGTAATTCTCATCTCACAGCTTGCCTTAAATCACAGAGCTATTGCCCATCTCCTGCTGGAGAACAAGATCTCTATGACAATTTTATACAAAGTCCCTACTTTTTTTTGGCTTCTCAATAACCTCCTGGCACCTACAGTATCTCATACATAAACGAGGACAATATAATAAGCAGAGGTGCTGGGCAAGTTCCCGGTGCAGCTCAGTCCTGTGAGCTGCCATGCAAGCCCCATGTGTTAGGGACCAGCAGGGCAGATCACAGGTGGGCGAAGGAATGGAACCAGCACCTTGCATTTTGTTGCACAGACACTAGCCAGGGTCAGCTGCAGGCTCCAAGGTCACGGGTCAGAAGGGAACTGATTCCTAAGAGGGAACCACTGCAGCACAGCCTCTGGATGTGGCTTCTGCAGGCACACAAGACAACTGCTTTGCTTGAGTCCTTCTGTGTGAGATCCAGTACTACCTGGAACACTTAAGGACTGACTGCGAAGTTGCCATCTCTCATTTCCCCTGCCTCTCCCATGTCCAATTCTGAACCTTCCCAGCATGCCTCAACTCTAAGAGCTGCCACAAAGATAAACGTTTATTCACCATGAGAGACAGGCAGTAAGAACCAGATCTGTCTCTACTCCCTGGGGGAGTCACAAAGGAAGGGTCTTTAAGTGTAACCACACTTTCTGTAACGAGCAATAAGGCTCCTCCGATTGGATGAGCTCCAGAAGAGGGTGGGAAGTAAGAGAGAGACGAAGGATTTTTACTGTATACCTTTTTGCTTGCATGCAGATAAGTTACTCAAAATTGTATTCTAAAGGTCAGTTTACTAGTTAAAAGCCACTTGCTAGACCTAGGCTCAGAGATCTGACCTGTCTTGATGATTAGTGGATCTGTCACTTTTGTGTCACTTGCTGAATGGGCTCTCTCAACTCCCCATTTTTCTGCTTTTCCATTGTGACTTTACCCAAACTTTTTAAGCTTCTCACTCTCCTATGCATCAATAGTAACAATAATAAAAATGCAGTTACAATAAATACTATTTTTTTATCACATCACTTTGAATATACAGTATTACCCCATTTAATCGGTACAATTCTGTGAGCCACTAGCTCTACTTCATAGACATCAAACTGGTTTGTCCATAATCACAAGCTAGAAATGAGCAAAGTCCAGATGTCTTCCAAAGCCTAACACCAAGTCTCCCATTCCACGGTTTCTGACCTCTGTGCCTGACCTACAGAAAGGGTCAGCCAGGCCAGGGTCTTCTCCTAGGATACTGGGCCACTCTGAAGTCTGAGGGCATCAAGTCAGTCTGTCTGTCCAAAGCAAAGCCTCTGCCCTTGTCCTGTTGTCTCTGCTCCCCTGTTTTTTCAGAGGCACCCAGTGCAGAGAAGATGCTGGCCTTCACGCCCAAAGGCCAGCAGCAGTCACACTGCTCTGTGGGGTAGACCAGCTGGCCCTGGTCCTATCATCATTCCACCAACGTCCTCAGCTCCAGGCCAGAAGGTTTTTTTTTAGCTTACACAAAAGTAATTTATTAATTAACAGAAAATAAGTTGTCTTATTCACAGACAGTGACCACAAAGACATCCCTTCCTTCCTTGGGTGCTATCAGAGGGATGGGGGTGACATTCTCAATCCTCACAATTGTCATACCCAAGAGAGCAAAGGCTCTGAGGCTGATTGGACATAGTCCAGGAGTCTTAGTCCTGTTTCTTCCTGTGCCCAGGATTTGGTATGTAGGGCGGTGATGCCCAACTCCTTGCACCCCTGGACCACAACCTGGGCAGTCAACATGGCAGACATAGAGAAGATTTGTCTCAATCCGCCTTTACCTTCATCCTACAAGTCGTGCAACAGTTTCCTTGACAGAAAGATCAGTGACATGGACAAAAGAATCACTGAAGGATGAAAAGATGTAACAGACATCAAATACATCTTCTCCCTCAGCCACATTAGGCTCGAGGCTGAGAAACTGTTCTCTTTCTTCTTCTCCCTCGAGGGATGCTATTTCTGCAGGCGATCTTTGGACTTGGCCACTGGAAAGAGAGGTGGGAGAGGGCAGAGTGATGGGTCACTTCCATCAGCAGCGTGGTATCTTTAGAGTCACAGGTGACATTTAAGACTGTATCAGGTCTCTGGGCACTGACAGCCGAACTGTGGCTGCCACTGCAGATGACACTGAGAGGCCCCAGTGTTTGTAAAACCCTGGAGGGTCCCCTTGGTGTGAGCAGAAACTCTCTCTGGGCTCAGCTGGAGAAGCTATGCTTTGTGCCCAGTCCCAGCAGGAAAAAAAGAGTTACCGTCTGTTTGGAAATCAGATGCCGGAGCCAAGATCATCAGATAAACAACTGCTGTGGAACAGAAGAAAGGGCCTCAAGAGCCGGGAGGCTTTACTAATAAATTAGACCACAGCAGAAAGATGGCAGCTCTGCTGGCGCTGGAGTACGGTGTGTGGTGTGTGGTTTGTGTTGTGTCATGTAGGTGTGTGATGTGTAGTGTGGGTGTGTGGTGTGTGTGTGTGTATGTGTGGTGTGGTATGCGAGTGTGTGCTGGGGTATAGATAAGAAGGAAAACAAGCAGCTTTCCAAGATCCAGATTAGAAGCTGCTTCAGCTGCCCAGGACCCCCAGGGGCAGATTTTCTAAAAGGGGCTCCCTTGTGGGCCCAGGTTTATACGAGCTTCTTGCAGAAGAGGCAGGCAGAACCTAAGAGAGCAGGCCCAAAGGAAAGCTCAGCGCCCCTCTCCATTCCAGATCAGCGGGTGACAGTCTTCCTCGGAATCTGACAATGGTAGGAGAACCACTTCAGCTTTTTAAGTTGTTATGAACAGGTATGCACCCTGTCACAGTCCTGAGTTTTACAAAGTGAACTAACAGGCGTCATGCCATTGATGTGAGGCAAAGAAAAGAGAAACACAGACCCAGTCAGGGCATTTTGAAAATCAGGTCCTACCCACATCCAGTTTTCTTCTCTTGTCTCCCTTTATCCTTTTTCCCTCTGCTAGTTCTCTGCTGAGAAACCTAGCCTTTAGATTGTCCACCCTTTTTTATCTTGGCCCTTTTTACATTCAGAAAACCTTCTCCGCGATGACTGTGCCGAAAAGAAACACAGGATTTTGTTTTGGAAGCTGCTGTTAGGTGCAAAGCCCGTGATAAATCAGCCCAGTGAATTAAAAGTTCTAAATCCTCTTAAAACCTCGTGTGTTCCACAATTGGCTGCAGATTTAAAAAGTATAAATCCGGCCACTAAATCACCATGCCTGGGGCTTGACAAGCAAGATCATGGCAAACTCCAATAGCCTGGAAGAATGACTTATGAAGCGCACTTAAGGGTGCACTGAACAGCAAGGGGAAGCGAATTCGGGGGACTGAGGCAGCGCCTCCTGACCATCCTTAATGTTCTTCAGGGTTGTGTTTCCAAAGAGGCCAAGGCCCATCATCTCCACTTTCCAGAGACAATCAGATAAGCTACAATCTCTGCTGGAACACAGTGCCAGCAGCCAAAACCAAGGAACCAGATTCCGTGAATTTCTGAGGTAGACAGTCATTTCTCTGCGCCTCAAAATTTCACAGCAGGAGGTCAACGCAGTCACTTTTCACAACAAAGATAACAGTCAAAACAGGACAACCACGCTGTTAGCTATTTATATAAAAGGGCATCCTTGAAGCACCCACAGCAAATCATACCAGCAAATATCTTGAGATAAAAACACTCTGCCTACTTGACAAAGAAGTGAAAAAACCTCAGAAAGCACAGAATGTCTCTTTACAATCCACTCGGGGTTCCAGTATTATTTCCCCATGACTGGAGTACATAAACACAGGTTTCTTCCTCTTACAGACCGCCTGGCTGCTCAAAAAAGTGAATTATGCTTTTCTGCCAATAGAAGTATGAAACCCACTCCTATTTATTTTCCCAAGTGCCTTCATGAAAGGATTCCCAGTAGCTCTGTCTGTTTGCAGACATTCTTCAGTAAACAATAAATATAGCACTAGGCTCGCAGCTCCCCAAGACTGTTTCATTCAGAACCAGAGCTCTGGTTTTTGTAGCTGCTTTGTCTAAATATTTTGAAGATGATTCATTCACGGTTTCAATATTTCCACAGGAAATATTGGGGGCATCCCCAAGTCATAACATACCAAAGCTGTACCAGACAAGACGGGGAGGGACAGGAGTGAAGGAGGGTCTGGGGAGTACCTGGCATCTCCATCAGGAAGCAGTCTGTTCTGCAGCAAAAGGAGACTTCGCCCTGTGACCATAGGGACTGAATTTCCTTCTTCTCTATAGTAATAAAAACTCAACATGCTCGGACATCAGCAGGGGACAGAAGAATGGCACAGGCTGGCCAGCCCTGAAGGTCTGTCACTGAATCAGCATGAGCCGCACACTGGACTTTTCCATAGGACCATTCAAACTGGAGCTGGGAAGGTCACACTAGCCTCTCCCTTCTCTGCTGACCGGCAGAAATGGCAGGACTCCACAGTGTGGCATCCCCCAACTCCAGGACGGCTCTCTAGGCTAAGGAAAAAGTCGGTCTCCAAGCATTGAGATGCAAAGCAGGGAAAAATAAAACCAACCTTCCACAAAGACAGAGCCAGGAACACAGCCCTTAAGAGTGAAAAACTGGAAACATCAGGGGAATGGTTAAGCCAGAGGCTGTGCGTCAACAGAATAAAATACCCCTAGCGATTTGAAAGTATGATCATGAACACAGCATCGCCTGCCAAAGCATCAGATTTACAAGAGGCTGCAAACAGCAGGGCCAAATATCTAAAACTATGGGTAAGAAAAGGAACAGAAACAGGAAGTGAGTCTGTGATGAATCAGTTTAAGTTCATTAGATTGCTTTCTTCCTTCTAAATAGTCAAACTCGTAACACAAGATAGCTCCAGAGGCATAACAAATCTCTTAGTTTTCAGAGGAAATAAACATTCTTCAGCAGTTCTGTGTAAAGTGAATGATCTAAAGGTTACCACATGGTTTCACCTCACCATCCAAACACAGCAAGGAAATGTGAGCACATAGAGACCAGCACACAAGCAAAACACTCAGCGACGTCCTTCTCAGTTCCCTGGCTGAGGGTCACAGTCCATGGAAGCACATCCAGCTGGGGAAGTGAGGTGACCACACTAGGCACCCTGGCCAGCCCTCCTGAGGATGCGCCATCCCCAGCTCTGTGGATGAGAGAGCAAATAAATTCTCTGCGATGTTCTTGGAAACTCAGTTTGAAGGCCAGTAGCAATAAGTTTCCTTTCTCCAAATTTATCCACATTTCTCTCCTCTCCCTAAAGAAAAGGAATGATAAGACCTCTGCTAGTAAAAAGTGACAAAGGACCTTTAACAAATCATGCAGGAAAAATCCCAGAAGCTGCTGAAATTACCCTTTCTTCCCTCAGGTACATTCAGGACATTTGGGAAGTTGACAGTTACTAAGGACAGGGAAGACATCATGAGAGGTCTATGTCACAGCAGCAGGGTCCAGAGCTCAGAACACCTAACATCCTCGGGTCCTCATTGTTACATAACCATTTCATCCATCCTTTGCCTTTCTGCTGAGCCACGTGGGAACCTACCACCAAAGAGGAGCAGACCCCTTTGCAACCAAAGCTGGTTTCACCCTGCAATCCTGGGGCTATTTTAATCATGCAATGCTACACCACATTTCTTATCTGTGATCACCTTCATTTGACAGGCAACAGACTGCATTTCCACAGTACTTTTTTATTATTAGGCTTGACTGTTGTACATTAACATGCAGTATTTTAAATGTCTGATTAGTGTGTGCTCTGATTTGGATGTGGTCTGTCCCTACCAAAACTCACACTGCTATCTACTAGCCAGTAGAATATACTGAGAGTCACTGGGATCTTTAAGAGAGAGTCATGGGGGTGCCCACTCTAGAATGGATAGCACAGTACAGGGACCGGCTTAGCTCTAATGAGAGTGGGTTGGCACAATGTGGGCTGGCCCTTTTTGTCTCCTATTTCTGTATGTGCTGCTTTTCTGTATTTGCCATGAGCAGCATATGGCCCTTAGAAACTGTTTAGCTACTGATACTAAGCTCTGGGCAATGGGCAAAACAAGCCTCTGCTCCTCTGATTATCTAGACTCAAGCATTCTGATACAGCAACAGAAGGTGGACTGGGACACCAGGGAAACAAGATTATTCCACTCCCTTATTTTTTCCTCACACTGTAATACTCTAGAAGTACCCTCTAGAAGTACCACAACCGGAAATGCCTACATGTATTCTAGACATGTTCCCGGACTCTGGCCACATTAGTGGTGCGTGGCCTGCAGACCCTGAATGTGCCTTCGGCCCTTACCTGTGGATCATGCAAACCCTGCTGCAGCAGCTGCCCAGGTACCATCCCTCAGCTGAAGTGGGCAGAAAAGGTACAGTGTGTATGGAGAATTAAATTCCCCGACCTACTTGGTCAGGGATTTAAATATGCTGTTGAAGAATTCATGTGGTTGAATAGCTCAGTGCCACCACAGCACCAAGTGGCATGTGACATGAGGGTCGGGGCAACGGACCCCTAGTTAGGCTTGTGCTTAGTTCTGATCCTGCGGGTGACTGCAGATAAAACACATTCTCTCTGGCCTTACTTTCCTTGCTCTTAAGACAGTTCAAATACCTTTTAAAGAATCTTCCAGTTTTAACAGCATAAGTCTATATAAACCCTTTCTTCCCTCAGGTATATTCAGGTCATTTGGGAAGTTGACAGTTACTTTATTTAATTCTCAGTAACAGATCTGGGAGAGGCATCTAGTATTCTGGAGACCAAATGTGACATTTCCTGTACTGAAAAGCAAGTGCCCTAGGTCTATACTAGGTCAGTATTTTACAGGGAGCCTGGACCTGGTCCCTCGTGCAGTCAATGGTGTCAGTACCCAGTGGTGAGGGACCATTAGGGGCACAGCCCTGGAGTAAGCGAAGGGCCAGCTTCTGATTCTAAGCATCACTTCTCCCTTCCCCAAAGGAGAGCCAGCCACCTGGCTTACAACTACACAAACAACCTGTGTTTTGTAGGACCCTATTCACATACTACATATACTGGTGGAGAAGCCCAAGTCACAATCAGGAGAAAAAAATATTACTAAGTGGCACTTATCAAACACTCTCTGGAGGAGGCAAAGACGATACCAAGGAGAGAGAGTTCGTGTGCTCTGAGCCTCACAAAACAGAAGCTTAGCAAAATTTGAGAATAAGCCTTTCTTTTCTCCTGAGATAGAAAGAGGGGACCCTTCGGCAGGTACATGAGGACCCACAAGGATGGCAGGGAAGTCAAGGCCATGTGAAATGTGTTTGCTACTTTGCTCTTATTTTTTAGGAGCCGGATCCTGAAGCTGAAGTGGCCGAGGAGAAGAGCATCTTCCAGGCTGCTGCAGGGCATGGCCTTACCATGGCTCTCGGTGGCCTGTGCCATCAAGACCTCCTGCCTCCGTGGTTTCCATCCGCCTGCCCAGGCAGAACTCCTGTGTACCTAGCCTGGCGTGACCATTGGTTCTGCCCTGGCCCCTAGGCTCTCCCTGTTCTCTGGAACCCCCCTGCCTTTCTCTTACAACTCAGGTTCTCCTTCTGTCCCAGCCCTTCCTTTCCTTTCTCTCCCCAGCTACTTCCGATCAGTTACCACTTTCTATAGGCATTCAATAAAAAGCTGAGTTAGCCGGATATGGTGGCACATGCCAATAATCCCAGCACTCTGAGAGACTGAAGTAGGAAGATCATAAGATTGAGCCCAACTTGGGAAATTCAGTGACCATGTCACAAAAGTAAAAATAAAAGAGCTGGGAATGTAGCTCAGGCAAAGGCTTTGAGCTTAACCTCTAGTACAACCCACTCATGTGTGTACACAGACAGACACACACAGACATATGAACATGCATGTGTGAACAAATAAAACAGAAACCTGACTTTATGTCCACAACGAGGATTACAGTCCATGGGTGCTCTATGCTGGATGCTTATATTTAGGTCAAAAGAACCCCCCAGCCAAGGGCACTGATGACCCCAGGCCTTGTGGTATAAACGGGTTCATAACAAAAGCATCCTGTATACATACTGAGCGCCTCTACATATTTTTTTAAAACTGAAGTATTTAAAAAATTTTTAAACTATCTGAAGTATTTTTTCCTTTGTGCTCTGCTGGGTTTCCTAAATGTTCTTCAATAATCAGACAATTAGAAAATATTTTAATTTATATAAATTTTAAGAGAGGTGAATGAGGAACAGTTGTCAGAGTGTGGAAGTGGACTAAAATTATGCAGTCCTGCCATCTAGTGGCAGTGAAGGAAAAAAATCCCAAGACAGACCGGAGGGTTGTGGCACTACTCGGGGCCAAAGTCCCACCCCAGAGTTTTGGGAAGGGGGCTCGGCTTCCTACAGTCGTGGAGGTCCCCTGGAGAGGGTGATGGGCAGTCCGGTGTTAACTATCGACGGGAGAGGCATGACTATTCCTCCACAACCCTCTGCGCTGCAGTTCCAAGCAGAACAAACAGTCCCAATCTGGACCCTCAGGGTGCAAAGCTTAAAGCACAGGTGTCCTGGGGCCAGCTTGGTACTGGCTCTGACTCCATGCTTCAAGCCACACTAGGTGTGTGTGACCAGTGGGCGTCACTGTTCTCTGCGGGCCAGGTGTCCCTTTCCTCATCAATCTTTTTCATCTTCTCCTTTAATGCGGTCACAAAGCCCTGTTGCGGCATCGCTGGCATCTGGCTGCCCCCCCATCTGACCCACCCCACTCCATCTGCATCTTCTCGTCCTCTCACTGAGCACCTGCCACAGCCCCAGCTGCTGCTCCTCCACAGGGTCCACCTGACTGGTCACACCCCGCACTCCGGAACCCTTTAATGACTTCTGCTGTCCTCAAGGTTCCCGACCACCTCCACTACCTGTTCCACTCCTGTCTCTCCACCAAAAAAACCAAGTACTGGTGGCAGAGGCCACACAGACTTTGTTTCCAGCTGCAGCAGAAGCTGGGACAGAGGTGGCTGTGCAGAGCCTGGCTGAGTGCTGGGCATGGGAGGCGGGTCACCAACTACGGCTGCTGATCAACTATGGGACTGGGTGCGCGGCTGAGCTGCTCTCTGCACCTCCACATGGCCTTAATTAATAAATGATACAACAATGAATTGTGGACCAAAATGGTATCTGAAGTGGTTTAGTTGAAATCTGATGATACTTTATTAGATTAATACCAGCATGGCATTCTGGGATGGAGGTCAAAGTTTGAGCCCAAACTTGGCAACTTAGCAAGACACTGTCTCAAAATTTTAAAAATAAACATTCATTTTAATAAGATTTAAAAATGTAAGAAAAAAATTAAAATTTTCATAGTATGTCACAAATCCTACATTTAATTCTATTAGAATTGACTTCTTTCTGCTAAGTGGTTAGTGCATCATTTATTACATGGATAGTCAGGCCCCTAAAGAAGGTAAACAAACAACTAACATTTCACAGCCTGAAAGAAAGACATTGAACTACCATTTGTTTAATAATTCAACGATCATGTCTTACATTTCATGCAACTCAAGTAAGCATTTCAGAAAATGGCATTTAATTTAAATAGTTCACAAGGATACTTAGCGTTTATTTTGCTGACATGAAACAATCTTGACATCAGTCATGCTAC